AGGCAGGTACCATTTGACTGGGCAGTCTCATGTTTAAGCTTTCTCGCTAGGAAAGGTAGGGGGAAAAGCTGGATCCGAGTGTCTTTTTTTTTTTTTTTTTTTTTTTTTCCCCAATAGTGACAAATACTATCATACTTAGAGTGCTTTAGGACTGAAACTCTGTTTATACCTCCTTCCGTGGCTCAGGCTGCTGAAAGAGTGCTTCCAGAAGATTTCCAGGGAAGCTGGACTGTGCCTGGGACAGACTTGTGCTTTTTCCTAGAAAGGATGATGTTACAAGCTTTCCCTGGCCCTAGTAGATGTCATTCAACTAATACTTATGCACTGTCCTGGGGGTAGGGTAACTCTGGGCTTTAGTGAAATAATTTTAATGCAAGTATTGTTAAGAATTCATTTTCATCTGAGGGAGGTGGTTCATGCCTGTAATCCCAGCACTTTGGGAGGCTTAGGCCCAGGTGGGCAGATCAGTTAAGGTCAGAAGTTCTAGACCAGCCTGGCCAACATGGTTTAACCCCGTCTCTACTAAAAATACAAAACTTAGCCAGATGTGGTGGTGCATGCCTGTAATCTCAGCTACTCAGGAGACTGAGGCACAAGAATCGCTTAAGCCTGGGAGGCAGAGGTTGCAGTAAGTAGAGATTGCAGCATTGCACTCCAGCCTGGGTGACAGAGGGAAACTTTGTCTAAAAAAAAAAAAATCACTTTTGTCTGGGTATGGTGGTTCATGCCTGTAACCCCAGAACTTTGGAAGGCTGAGGCAGGAGGATCACTTGAATATGGGAGGTCAAGGCTGCAGGAAGCCATGATTGTGCCACTGTACTCTAGCTTGGGTAACAAAGCAAGACCCCATCTATAAAAATAAATTAAAAAAAAAAAAAAAGAATTCACTTTCATAATGTAAAAAGTTGCCTTTTTAAGGAATGGAGAGGTATACATTTACAAAAGATTTCTCCTTCTAGAAGTATGCATTGTAAGCTCCAAATATCTTTAATTCAAGCTTGATAAAAAGAAATTATGATGAGACCAAAGACCACCAGCTTCTGTAGCAGGAACCTTAAGATCATCCAGTTCCTTTTGAGAATTAAGATTCCTGAGTAAACAAATACCTCATTAGATAGGTAAGGTAGATTGAATACTGATATGTGAGTTGTCATTTATTTTAGGTCAAACCTATTTATTTTGTACCTTATCATCATAAAATTGAGATTCTAAAGTTTTTAGTAAGTAAACAAGTAATAATGAAATATTTATTTTAATAGCTCCAAGGACTATTGACTTTTTGAAATTCTGACTATTTGTCATAGGAAACGATTTGTTAAAATGTTTGCTGTAGGGAGCTGTTTATAAACTCTGTTATAGAAGACTGATGTATGCTGCTACCTTGGGGTGCCTGTGATCACCTCCCTTATCTGGTTCTGATTAATTCATCCAGCTTAAATGGCTCTGCATGGAGCTCAGAAATACAAACACAGCTAGAAGCGTTCATTGGTGTAGAAAGGTTATGCAAGCAAAATAAATGATTAATAATGTTAAGACAGAAAGCAGAATCTCAGTTTTCTTTCATGACACAACGTTCAGATCTTTAGGAAATCTTGTCTGCTTCTTGACCGCTTATCCCTAATGCCCCATTCATAGGGATCTATTACTGTGTAACGAATTACCCTGAAACTTCATGGCTTATAAAGCAAATATGTATCATGTCATAGGATTTTGTCAGAAATTTGGGTACAGCTGAGCTGGGTTCTTCTGCCACAGAGTCTCATAAGGCTTCAATCAAGGTATCTGTGGGGCTATGGTCTCATCTGAAAGCTTGACAGAGGTGTATCCTCTTCTGAGCTGACTCAGGTAGTTGTTGGCAGGATTGGTTCCTCATGGGCTGTTGGCCAGAGGGTTCCTTTACTTAGCACACAAGCTTCTCTAGGGATAGTCACAAGATGGCCCCTTTTAATTTCCAGAGTAAGGACTCAGAGAAAGGGAGAGAGAAAGAGAAGAAAGTCATGGTCTTCTTTTAGCCCACTCGGAAGGGACTCCCGTCACTGTATTCCGTTTATTAGAAGTAGGTTGCAGCCCACACTCAAAGGGAGTGTGTTGCAAAGGGATGTGAATATCAGGAGACAGGGATTTGGGGGGGTTCTTAGAGTCTTTCTGCCATACACAATCAGTGCTCAGTGAATGACAGTTGACTCCCTTGGTCCCTGCTGGATGTGCCATATTGCTGTCTTTCTTATCATGAGATGCACACACCAGGGTTTCATGCAGCCCTTGTTCAGATTGAGTTCCAGGCGGTTGTGATGTGATTGAACACTGTGCTGTAAGTCGAGGGCTGGTGGGTTTATTTTTCTCTAAAGTGTGGAGAGGTATTTTTGTTTATTCACTTCTTTTTTTGTTGTTATTGAGACTGAGTCTTCCTGGCTGGAGTGCAGTGGCGCCATCTCCACTAACTACAACCTCCACCTCCTGGGTTCAAGCAATTCGCCTGCCTCTGCCTCCTGAGTAGCTGGGATTACAGGCGCCCACCACTACGTCCAGTTAATTATTGTGTTTTTTAGTAGAGATGGGGTTTCACCATATTGGCCAGGCTGGCCTCAAACTCCTGACCTCAGGTGATCCACCTGTGTTACCCTCTCAAAATTCTGGGATTACAGGCGTGAGCCACTGTACCCGGCCAGTTTTTTTTTTTTTTTCTTTAACCCTGAAAAGGGAGTTAAGGAGGAAAAGGAGGCTTGAAGCCAGAGTCCACTCTAAGGTGATAGTAAGCTCAGTATGATGGGTGGAAAGTGGCCATAGAATTTAAAAAGGTTTTCACTGGCCCTTCCTTGTCATTTAGATCCCAGCTTAAATGTCACCACTTCAGAGAGGCCTTTCCCGTCTTATTTGTTTATTTTTATTTAGTTTTGAGGCGGAATCTCTCTGTCACCCAGGCTGGAGTGCAGTGGCATGGTATCAGCTCACTGCAACCTTCGCCTCCTGGGTTAAAGCATTCCTCTCACCTCAGCCTCCCAGGTAACCAGGACTACAGGTGTGCACCACCACGTCTGGTAAATTTTTGTAGAGATGGGTTTCACCATGTTGGCCCATGCTGGTCTCAAACTCCTGACCTCAAGTGATCTGCCCACTGTGGCCTCCCAAAGTGCTGGGATTACAGGCATGAGCCACCACACCTGGCCCTGTCTGTCTAATTTAAACTAGCCATTGGCTCACTCTTAATCTGCATAGTCATTAACAGTCTGATTCTATTCCCTGCTTGTTTACTAGGTTTTCTACCCCCATGAGCACTGAGTAGAGGGACTCATCTGTCTTAGTCACCTTCCTATTGCCAGCACCTCTCATAGGGCCTGGCAAACCAAAGGCTCCCCTTATGATACTTACCCAATAGACAAATGAATCAAACACATGGACGTGAAGTGATTTCAAAGGGCTTTTTGGAAATTACAATATCATCATGACTTCCAAAGAAAATGCCATTTATTCGGTTAACATGGATTGTACATTAAATAATTATAATTATCATTATTGAGTTAGAGTCTCCTATGTCGCCCAGGCTAGAGTGCAGTGACGCAGTCTCAGCTGACTGCAACCTCCACCTCCTAGGTTCAAGCGATTCTTGTGCCTCAGCCTCTCAAGTAGCTGGGATTGCAGGTGCCCACAATCACGCTTAGCTAATTTTTGTATTTTTGGTAGCGACAGGGTTTCATCATGTTGCCCAGGCTGATCTCAGACCCCTGACCTCAGGCAATCCACCCGCCTTGGCCTCCCAAAGTACTGGGATTACAGGCATGAGCCACCATGCCTGGCCATACATTACATTATGAAAAAGGGAAAAAAAATAGCCTCAGGATGACAGGGTAGCTCTGTCCCTGCCACCAAGTGCTAGCAGGCCATTCAGCAAGTTCTGCCGCCTCTCCAGGTCTCACTTTTCTCGGAGGATAAACGAGTGGGTTTGCAGATTGGAGGATGTCACACTGTGCTGTGTCCAGCACCACATCTGACTCTGGCACCAGAAGTTACAGGTGCTATTCTGTAAGAGCAAGCGGCTTTGCTTGGCATGTTTTTTCAACATTGGCCTGCCATGTGCGATTTTGATTAGAGAAAGGATTCTGTGGCCAAATAATTTTTTAAACAAGTGAAACCCACAGCGCTTCTGTGCCCATTAATGGCCATTCCAGCTCTGCGTAAGCAGGCATCAGCAGCAGTTCTGGCAGATAAGAGTAGAAACCCAAGGCCCACAAAGCTTTGGCCCCGCAGAGCCAATCGGAAGAGCAAGCAGAATGATTTCAGGTGGCCTAGATCCCTTTCCAGGAACATAAAAGAGTCCCCACCCCCAGCCTCACACCTCACGGCTGCCCACATCCTACTGCCTTTGAAATGTTAGCATCGATTTTTGTTTCTTCTGTTTTTTTTCTTTTTTTTTTTCCCACATTGACTTACTCATTTCAGGATTTCATTTCTGGCACCACATCTCCCACCAGATAGCCAGAGCTTCTGAGCGCCAAGTTTTATAATTAAAATCCTGTCACATCCCCCGAAATGGTGGAAGTGATGCCACGAAGCCTCGCAGAAAAGATTTGTAAGCACTTCACCTAGTAATTTAAATATAATACTTCTGGCAGCGTTCAATTTTGGGTGTTGTATTCTAATTTAAAGACTATTATTGAGCACGAATATCCTCTTGTGTCGTGTTCCGTTGTGGCTCCGTGCTTCCTTTTGGCCATCTAGCTTGTCAACAAACGGCTAGACTGTGTGGCTGCAGAAGCCCACGTGGACAGTCCTGGCCTTTGGGTATCACCAGGTCCCAGGCGTAATTAGTATAAATCAGAACCCTCTAGACTATGACAGGAAAATGGTATGTGTGAACAGCAGCTTATTAAAATGACCTACTTAGTTTAAGAAAAATAGTATATCCACTTGCATGGTGACCTGGTTGCATTTTATAACAGATTTTATAACACTTCTCCTTCTTCCTCTCTCTCTTTTTTTTTTTTTTTTTTTTTTTTTTTAAGAAAAGGAAGGGGAATGGAAAGGCCCATTCTACTTCATCCTGGGTGCAGACCCACAGTTTGGGCTGATGAAGGCCTGGTCCACTGGGGACTGTGACAATGGTGGTGACGAATGGGGACAGGAGATCCGTCTCACTGAGCAAGCTGTCCAGGCCATCAACAAGCTGAACCCCAAACCCAGATTCTTCGTCCTGTGTGGCGACCTCATCCACGCCATGCCCGGTAAGTCTCAGGTCACCACTTGTGACCTTTTCTGCTTCGCCAGTCATGACTGCATTTGGGCAGGGAAAAAAAAAAAGATTTTGTTTCAAAGGCATCTTTGTTCAGTCACAGACCATTCTTTCGCTTCATGATTGTTGCAGTATCATTGAACATCAGAAAGTGCACACTCACTTTATGTTTAGAGTTTGGCAAGATTAATCACAGTAATTAGGCACAGCTACAGTTCTGATGATTTGAGCTTAATATGAAATATGGAACAGATTCCCACACATCACCTTTCTGCATTTCCAGGGACAGACTTGAACTGCTTCCAGATACTATATCCATAAATATAATCTTCTCTCCTTATTTCCTTTCTTCTTACACTTTTATTTCTCCCTTATTTGTTGGTGCTTTTTTGGTTGCAAGTGACAGAAATACAACTTAAAATGGGATTCCTTGTTTTTTTTTTTTAAAGTATGTGTTGCCTCATGGGACTGTAAGGTCCCGGAGCAGACCTGGATTGCAGGTACAGCTGGATCTAGGAGCTCAGCTTGGTTATCAGGACTTGATCTGTCTGTCACTCTGATTGGCCTTCTTCTGGCTTGACCGCATTCACATTCAGGCTCTCTCTAGATAGTGGCTTCTGGGGGCTCTACATTTGTATCCTTTTGACAGAAACCACAACAGAAAGCAAGTGCCTTATTCTGGGTAGTCCAACGTCCCAGGCTGGCTGGGCACAGTGGCTCACTCCTGTAATTTCAGCACTTTGAGACGCTAAGGAGGGCGGATCACTTGAGCGCAGGAGTTCGAGACCAGCCTGACCATCATGGTGAAACCCCATCTCTACCAAAAATACAGAAGTTAGCCTGTCGTGGTGGTACATGTCTGTAGTCCCAGTTACTCAGGAGGCTAAGGCACAAAAATTGCTTGAACCCGGGATGTGGAGGTTGCAGTGAGCCAAGATTGTGCCACTGCACTCTAGCCTGGGTGAAGGAGTAAGACTCCATCTCAGAAAAACAAGCAAACAAAAAACAAAGTCCCAGGCTGACACCCCTCTAGCCCACATGGCCCCCTTCCACCAGGGTATGGGGTTAGCTTCACTGCAACCACATGGTCTAAAGAACAGGACAGTCTCACTCACAAAAAAGTGGGATGTTGGAAATGCAACAATGACAGATACCTTCTAGAACTCTCTCCCTTTTCTTTTTGCCTGCTCTGATGTCCTCTCTCAGGCAAGGATACAGCCTAGCAGGCAGATATAAGCAAATGGAGAGTGCCCCTGTCCCTCAGGGAGGCAAGGGACCTTTGACCATTGCAGAAAACCCAGTAGTGGCTGTGGGTGTCTGTTTGGGGCTAGCTGCATCTTGTAAACCAAGGCTGTGAGTCCCACGATGATGTCTAACTCCTTTAGAAGCCGAGGTACCCTGTAGTAAGCCTGGGTGTATCAGTTCCTCTTCCTTGTGACTGTTTTGTCTGGCAGCCCACTTATTCAGAATAAAACCCATAATGAAAACATGAAAATGGTCAGGCATGGTGGCTCACACCTATAATACCAGAACTTTGGGAGGCCGAGGTGAATGGGTCACTTGAGATCAGGAGTTTGAGACCAGCCTGGCCAACATGGTGAAACCACGTCTCTACTAAAAATACAAAAATTAGCTGGTCGTGGTGTACGTGCCTGTAGTCCCAGCTACTCAGGAGGCTGAGGCAGGAGAATCGTGTGAACCTGGGAGGCGGAGGTTGCAGTGAGCTGAGATCACGCCGCTGCACTCCAGCTTGGGTGACAGAGCGAGACTGTCTCAAAAAAAAAAAAAAAAACGGAAAAAAAGAAAAAATGTGAGAATGGAAAAGGGCAGCACAGAATTGCTCCCTCCAAAGTCCGGAAAGTGCAGGCAGCAAGATCCTCAGATCGCCCTTGATTCTCTGCTTCCTGGTATTTTACCCAAAGCCAGGAATGTGGACACGCCCGTGTCATTGACGCCTACCCGATAGAACCCCGGGACCCCGGGATGTCCTCCCTGTTGAAGCAGCCGTTTTAGAAGGTGGCAGGACAGGCAAAAGGGACATGAAGACAGTAAAGACCTGAATTAGAACTCAAGTGGCTGGGACGCCAGCCCATGTCTGCCACTGATGCACTGGGTGAGCATGGACAGACCCCTCATCTTAAGGTCTCTGGTTCTGAGCCAAAAGCCCATTGATACAGTAAGAATTTAAGCCCTCCAAGTCTGGAGCTATGTAGTACAGGGACAAACAATTCCATGCTAGAGGGAACATCTTGGCAACTCAGTGTAGGAACATGTTCACAATAATGGTCCTGAGTTCTGTTCGGTTGAGAGGCAAACTCTTACCTGATTGTAAACTTAGCTACCCTTGGTGACTCTTGGCCAAGGGTTTCTGGATGCCCAGATTGTACAGTACTGAGAGAGTATAGAGTGCCTCAGCGTCTAAAGGAGTTAGAAATCATAGCAGCCTTTGCTGGGTGCAGTGGTTTATCCCTGTAATCCCAGCACTTTGTGAGGCCAAAGTAGGTGGATCACCTGAAGTCAGGAGTTTGAGACTAGCCTTGCCAACGTGGAGAAACCCCATCTCTACTAAAAATACAAAAATCAGCCAGGTGTAGTGGCATGTACCTGTAATCCCGCTACTTGGAAGGCTGAGGCAGGAGAATCCCTTGAACCCAGGAGGGGGAGGTTGCAGTGAGCTGAGATCATGCTGCTGTACTCCAACTTGGGCAATGGAATAAGACTTGGTTTCTATATAAAAAAAAGAAGAAACCATAACAGCCCTCAGAATCAGTCTTGGGTAAAACAAGGAAATAGATTGACCAAACAGATGAATAGATTAATGTGACTTCCACATCGTCTGATTTGCAGTCTGCCGGTTTCACTGGGGTCATATAGCCCTGTGTGTAAATCAGTTAGAGCTCTCACTCTGGACTACACAGTAAGAAAACTTATTTTTTCTTAATTCCTTTTATTGTCATCCCTAAACTTCTGTTTTTACTGAACACATGAAAATAAGATTTCAGTTTGGGCATACCTGTAATCTCAGTGCTTTGGGAGGCTGAGGTGGGAGGATCACTTGAGGCCAGGAGTTCGAGACCAGCCTGGGCAACATAGTGAGACCTTGTCCCGAAAAAAATTTTTTTAAAATTAGCCGGGTGAGACTGGGTACGGTGGCTCATGCCTGTAATCTCAGCACTTTGGGAGGCTGAGGCAGGTGGGTTACTTGAGGTCAGGAGTTCGAGACTAGCCTGACCAGTTTGAGGCCCACATGGTGAAACTCTGTCTCTATTAAAAAGTACAAAGATTAGCTGGGCATAGTGGCAGTTGTCTGCAACCCCACGAGGCTGAGGCACGAGAATATCTTGAACTCCAGAGGCGGAGGTTGCAGTGAGCTGAGACTGCACCACTGCACTCCAGCCTGGGTGATAGAGTGTGAGACTCAGTCTCAAAAAAAAAAAAAAAAAATTAGCCAGGCATGGTGTTGCATGCCTGTAGTCCCAGCTACTAGGGAGGCTAAGGTGGGAGGACCACTTGAGTCCAGGAGTTTGAGGCTGTAGTAAGCCATGATCATACCACTGCACTCACCAGCCTCGAGACAACAGAGAGAGCCCCGTTTCTTTAAAAAAAAAAAAAAAAAAAAAAAAAAAAAAAAAGAGAAGAAAAGATTTAAAATTTTTCTGTTCAGTGGTTTCTTCTCTTTAAAAACAGAATATTAAAGAAATAAAGAAAAAAAAAAACAGAATATTATGGGGCTCACTAGAATTATATATTTTTGTAGATGTTTATCAACTTGTTCTGAATTCTGTTAACGTATTCAGTCATATTTCAAAATCGATTTAAAAAGATTTTCATGCAGTTACATTGCTTTTTAAGTAACATATACCAAGCATACATTAAAAATTGTAAATTCAAAGATACGGTTTTTATGATCAACCTGCCAGTTGGTCAAGACTTCATAAATGTGAATTGGCAAACTTTTGAATGTGAATTTTATATACAGTGCAACTCAAGCAGAATTTATAGTTTGTTCCGAAGTCTTGGATTGTTTTCTGGGGTTTTAATTGAACCAGTGAAAGGACTATTTTGAATATTGTGGTTTGAGATTAAACAGAGCCTTTTAAAACTAGTTACCATTTTTTAATATGCAATAAGTGCCTTCCTTCTCATTTAGCTCATATGGAGGGTTAGACATGAGAAAGTAATTATTTTCTTTGACTACTTATCACATTCTTCATTATCAAATGCATATATTAATAGGCAAATAAAATCAGAAAGCATTCTTTTAGTTCTGCTGTAGATAATATCTTGAGCCTGGCCAGGTGTGTTGGCACATGCCTGTAATCCCAGTACTTTGGTAGACCAAGGTGGGCAGATCACCTGTGGTCAGGAGTTCAAGACCAGCATGGCCAACATGGTCAAACCCTGTCTCTACTAAAATACAAAACTTAGCCAGGTATGGTGGTGCACACCTGTGATCCTACCTACTTGGGAGGCTGAGGCAGGAGAATTGCTTGAACCCAGAAGGTGAAGGTTGCAGTGAGCTGAGATTGTACCACTGCACTCCAGCCTATGCAACAGAGTGAGACTCCATCTCACAAAAAAAAAAAAAAAAAAAAGAAAGAAAAAGAAAATATCTTGGGCCAAGAGGATTTAAGTTGAAAACGGAGAAAGGCCAGGCACAGTGGCTCACGCCTGTAATCCCAGCACTTTGGGAGGCCTAGGTGGGCAGATCACTTGAGGTCAGGAGTTTAAGACCAGCCTGGCCAACATGGTGAAACCCTGTCCCTACAAAAATACAAAAATTAGGCTCGCATGTTGGCGTGGGCCTGTAATCTCAGCTACTTGGGAGGTTGAGGGAGGAGATCACTTGAACCCAGGAGGTGGAGATTGCAGTGAGCTGAGATTGCGCCACTGCATTCCAGCCTGAGCAACAGAACGAGACTCATCTCAAAAAAAAAAAAAAACCAGAAAATAGAGAAAAGAACTTTCAGAGTCATTTTTTTTCATGAAAGT